AGGTGTCTTGTGCAGCCCATTGGGTTCTTTGGAGTTGTAGGTGAGGAAGACCCACCGACTTGTAGGCTCCATGCCTGAACCCACCCCTTGCAGGCTGCCCCCAGGTGATCGGGACTGTCCTCCTGACTCCCACACTGTGTGGACTGAGGTCCCTCCCTCCTTTGGTTCTTTTTTCACAACCACAATTGCACGGCCTGGCAAGACCTCATCCGAGGAGACTGTACCTGGTTCTCCCTCACCAGGCCCTGGATTCACATCAGGAACCCTGAGGCAGGGAAGCCAGTCCCTGACCCTTGTTTGGCACCACAGCTCTCTTGCCCCAGCCTGCGCCAGCCCTGACTGAGGGGCAGCCTGCTGGTGCCCAGAGCACGCGGCTCTGTTCTAGATGCCAGTGTGAATTACGTGGTGCAGGAGAGCCCCCAGACATGATGCTTGAGCTGAAAAGGGATGGAAATGTCCCCCTAGTGATGCTACCCATGACTCATAAGTGTTAATGCTGCCACATGTTGGTGTTCTTTAGAAGCAGACAGGGTTTTTAAAAAAATACGATGTTTACATCAGTGGTTCTCAGCATGAAGCGATGGAAGACTTTGGGCAATGTCTAGTGACATTTTTGGCTGTCACAAAACACCCTGTAACACAGCACATCCCCCACAACGAAGAGTTGCCCAGCTCAGAGTGTCTGTAGTGCCAGGTCGAGAGACCTTGGATCAAGTCAAAAGTCAATAAATTAACCCCTGCTTGCCAGGTGCCGGGCCACCCGCCTACAATCCCAGCCACTCAGGAGCCTGAGGCAGGAGGATCACAAATTCAAGGCCAGCCTCAGCAACTCTTGATGGCCCTAGCAACTTGTGAAACCCAGTCTCTAAGTGAAAAGGGGCTGGGGATGTGGTCAGTGGCTAAGCACCTCTGGGTTCAGTCCCTGGTACCAAGTAAATAAGTACTGCTTTACTTTGGTACCTGTTGTTTGCCAATGGGAATGGGAATCTAAATGATCCACACAGTTATCAAGGCCAGCACTCGATCTGGGGCTTGATACGCTTTTCCTACTTGGACTTAAAATAGGGACTGAGGGGTAGGGAATTTTATGAATTAATTTAGTTCAAAAGGAACTATTGTTTTTCTTTGTGGCATTATAGGGAGCTCATTTTCAACGCAGTCAAAACCATATTTGTTTGCTGAGAGCCACTGCTGGTGTTCACTGATTCAGGCCTTTTTCTCTTGCAGTTCTGAATCAGCCAGGGGCCCCCAAAACACAGATTTTTATGAATGGCGCCTGTTCCCCGTCTTTGTTGCCAACCCTGCCACCCCCATTGCCCTTTCCTCTCCCAGTTGTTCCTGACTACAGGTGAGCTGCTCTTCAGAAACACGTTCTTTATTCATCATGAGCCGTTGTCGCACTTTCTGATGTTAACTTTTCACCGACATGAATTAATGACAATTTAGAGATTAATTATTACACATTCCTATTTAGGAATTATAAAAGTACATAGAAGCCGGGCTTGGTGGTGCACACCTGTAATCCCAGTGGCTGGGGAGGCTGAGGCAGGAGGATCGCAAGTTCAAAGCCAGCCTCAGCCAAAGTGAGGCCCTAAGCAACTCAGTGAGACCCTGTCTCTAATTAAATACAAAATAGGGCTGGGGATGTGGCTCAGTAGCCAAGTGCCCCTGAGTTCAATCCTTGGTACCCCCCCAAAAAAAAAGTACATAGAATGCATACGTATGTGTGTATATGTATGTATATAAAGAAGAATTTAAATTTCTTGGATTGATTAGATAACCCATTACATCTGTAGAGTCCAACACTGTAGGAGCTGTGTGTAGGCGGGGGCAGGGGCCTGTAATCCAGCTTCTGGGGACGCTGAAGTGTATGCTCCAGGCCAGCCTCATCAACACAGAGAGGCCCCTTTCAAAACATGAAACAAAAGTGCTGTGTGTCTGTGTGTATACACCTGTGCACACTCARGGTTCTCCCCGCCACCCTCAGTGTGGACATCCTGCCTGGCCAGTAAATGGGGTCTGTATTTCTATGGCTTTCTGGTGTGTTGTCGTGTGAGTGCACCGCTGTGCTGACCCCCTGTGTTTAACACCTGCGGTTCTTGTTGTCCTTCTGCCTGTGTGAGTCCTAACTGTGAACCCGGCGCTTCTCCCCCACATTCAGCTCCTCTATGTACCTCTTCCGGCTGATGGCAGTGGTCGTCCACCATGGAGACATGCACTCTGGACACTTTGTCACTTACCGACGGTCCCCACCTTCAGCCAAGAACCCTCTGTCGACCAGTAACCAGTGGCTGTGGATCTCCGACGACACTGTCCGCAAGGCCAGCCTGCAGGAGGTGCTGTCCTCCAGCGCGTACCTGCTGTTCTACGAGCGGGTCCTCTCCAGGGTGCAGCACCAGGGCCAGGAGTACAAGTCTGAAGAGTGACTGCTGATGGCCTCGTCCACGCCATCCAGGATAGAAGCCAGCTGTGCTGTGTGTGTCTCGCAAGCAGCCCCCCCAGAGCTTGCGGCGTGTTCCGAAAGTGGGCTCCGTGGAGGAGCCCCCCACCCCCGGCCCTGCTAGCAGCTCTGGAAGGGCCGGCAGCCGGAGAGCGTCCCTGTGTCTAGAGTGTCTTTTTACTCATCTGATTCAAGTAATTAAAAGCTACCAGATCCAGAAAGCACCTTTCTATATTGTAACATGTGAGATGTTCTCAGAGGGCAGTCACCTTCCTAATCCTCTGACATTTCAACATAGATTTTTTATTTTTAATAAGCAGGCCCCTAAAAATTGTTGACATAATTAGTGAAATCATTAAAGGCAACAATTTAGAAGAAAAAGTGCCTTTCACTTTCGATTGCTTTTGTAGCCCAACCATTCTGAGAAAGAGACATGATCTAAGAGTCCTAGAAACAGTTTTTGAAGGCCCTGTTCCTTCCAGGTCACTCAGAGGATATCAAAGAGCAGTTACAAGATGCCTGAAGAGCTCCTCTCCCTCTTTGTACGCCTTTTTCTAACCTTTTGATTCTTTCTATGTCTTAAAGACACATCTGCCAAGTCCCCCCGCCCTGGGTGCTGTTTCACGACTTTGTCAGTCAATGTAAGTGAAACGCTCGTTGCTTTTCTCTCTTGTGTACTACACCAAGAGATGTGATCCTAGTACATTATGAAAACCGTGTGGCCGGCCAGACCGGACAGCGTCTCTGTATCTGGGCAACCCCTGTGTCTTCTGCCATATAGAAAACCATTACACAAGGACGGTTACTTCCGTGTTATTTATTGCCTGTGCAGGAGCTCTGAAGGCCTACAGGCAGGGTCTTGGGGCTGTGTGAGCTCATCCCTGCCTCAGCTGGAGAGCTGGATTAGGATGCGTGCTGTTTATGGGCTGCAGTCTTGCTGGACCTGTTTCCTCATTTGTAAAGCGAAGGGTTAGATTAGATGACCGAAAAAGTTCAATCCTGCCACACGCAGTGGCACATGCCTATCATCCCAGCAGCTCGGGAAGCTGAGACAGGATGATCGAGAGTTCAAAGCCAGCCTCAGCAAAAGTGAGGCGCTAAGCAACTCAGTGAGACCCTGTCTCTAAATAAAATACAAAATAGGGCTGGGGATATGGTTYAGTGGTCAAGGGCCCCTGAGTTCAATGCCTGGTACCAACCCCCGCCCTCCCCCCCCCCCAAAAAAAAGAACTCCAGTCCTTCCCACAGAAGGAAGAAAGCAGTTTGATTTCTGAAACACAAATATAGCCGACATTAGGCATCATCTTTTTGTTTTGGCTCACATTCTGAATTTATTCATTCCYAGTAGCCTAATACAAAAAGAGTATATTGAGCATTTTCTTCCCTTTTCAGATAAGTCTCGTGAATGCAACCCAGGGCTGAAGGAATTTTGATGACACAATAGTACCGAGTTTAAGCTAGGTTTGTGATTTTTAAAAAAAGATGCCAAATTCAAACTGACTCTTCAGAGAAAACATTTGGAATCAGACCAATACAAAAGATCACCAGAAGTCAGGCCAAGAACTGTGCTCCTGCTGGGCATGCCCCTGGACTCCAGAGGCTGAGGCAGGAGGATGGTGAGTTCAAAGCCAGCCTCAGCCACGGCGAGGTGCTGAGCAACTCAGCGAGACCCTGTCTCTAAATAAAATACAAAATAGGGCTGGGGATGGGGCTCAGTGGTACCAAAAAATCCTGGTACCAGTCCCTGGTACCAAAAAAATAAATAAAAGAACTGTGCTCCCTCCACCTGGGGTGAGCTTCCAGATGTGCGTTGGCATTAGTTGACAGTGCAAGAAGCCCAGGTGGTCACCATTCAGCTGGGCCAGTGTGCATCCTGAGGACTTGGGGACTCTCCCTGTCAACAGAATATACTGTGAAGGTTCTTGGAGCCACCAATGTCAGTGTGAAAGCAGGAGCTTGAACCACCTGATCCGTGCAGTGCAGACCTCAGCGTTGATGTGGAACTGAATGCACCAGTTTTATCTAAATCCAGTGACACAAACATCAGGTCATGTGACCGTGAGCTGCACTGCACAGTTGTAGCTCTGAGTAACTGCTGTTCTGCAACCCCGGGAAACTGGCATCAGAGAGATGCATGCAAGGATCCAACAGCGGGTTGGGAGGAGCTCCTTGGCCAGAGGCTGGGGTGTGAGTGAAGGCTGTAAATGTGAATGACAACCTGTTTGAACGCTAACTTCCTCATTTTGTAAATTATTAGGCATTAAGTAGCGGCAGAATAATCTGATTTCTTGTTTTAAGTTATTTACAAAGTCAGTAGCTTCTTTTTGGAAAAGCCTAAGTTAAATTAGTAGTCTAGGCTATAATAACTGATTTATGTATTTGCTAAAGGTACTTTTGTATCTGCTATGTATTATAGCAATAAAAGAATCATTTTGTTAGGAAAAAATCAACTGGTAATCTTTTATAATTCACTGTGCTTTCCTTAACCTGCTCCTGTAAAGAAACACCAGCTCCCTCTCAGACAAAAAAAAAAAAAAAAAAAAAAAAAAATACAAAAAGAAACATGTTAAAAACGTTTTTATTTCTTAGGCAAAATTTTACGAAATGTCAGGTTGACCCTCGGAGCCAGAACCTTCTTGCGCACGGGAAGACTGTGATACCAGTGGGTGTTGGTCGGGGGGTTCATCATCAGTAAGCTTCCGTGGGCCAGCTGCAGCCGGACCACCTCTAGCTTCCGGTGGGGGTTCTTCCCTCGGGAGTCCTTGTGCCGGAAGCAGAAGTCCCTGCAGGCACCAAAGGAGACAGAGGCGATGGGGCTCCTGGGAGCCAGTTCTCTCTCATCGTCTCGATGCTCCCCAATGTGGTCACAGCCATCTTTGTACCTGCAATGAGAAAACAGGCACCGCTCAGAGTGACCTTCTGGAGGCTGTCCCTGCAGGGCCTGAGCGCCTCCCTGGCTCTGCAAGTGAGGCCGACCTGGGGCATCTACATGGGTAACCTCTCCTAAAGCAGGCCCACAGCACGTCTCATCAGGCCCTGGCTCATGCATGGAAACCTTCCTGTCACATAAAAGGATTTCCTCCCTCCATACAGAATAAACTCCTGTTCCTGGCACATTCTGGCCCCTGGCCACTCGAGAGCACCCCGCATCCCTTCCTCCCTCCCTCATTGCTTTCTGGCCACAACAGGAGTATTCCTGCTCCACAGGAGCTCTGGGCTTCTCTGGGTGCCTGGCCTGAGCTCTCCAGTTAGTTACCAGCTCAGGTGTCTCCGTGAGCCCTCCTCTAACCATCTCATCTAAAGTGGGTCCTTCTCCTCTGCCCAGGGTTCTCAGCCAGGGTGATGTTGCCCCAGGAGATACTGGGCAATGTCTGGACACATTTCTGGCTGCTCTTGATGGCATAAGGTGCTACTGGCATCCCCTGATGGTGGCCAGGGACGCTCTCAGTCCTACAATGCACAGATCAGCCCTGGGCAACAAATTAGCCTATGATGTTCACAGTCCTGCTGCTGCTCAGAAACCCTGAGCCCCAACCTTTCCTCAGCTGCTCATTTAAATCAGCCTGCTTGACTGTCCCCACCACACTCCCTACGGTCCCAAATGACCCTGCCCAGCTGTCTGTCCAGGAGTTAATCACCCTTCCCTCCTGCTGCTGCCTGAGCTCCCTGAAGGACGACTGGGCTTGCGTTCTCCCACCATGATGTCCCTTGTGTGCTACTGGAAGGTTTGCTGTGCAGGACCAAGTATGGGGGAGCCCTGAACGCTTCCTTTTGGAGGAGACAGAAGGCTATAAAACTGACTCCACCAGAGAAGGGAGGCATCACCTGTTGACAAGCACGAAGTTGAAGGTATGTCCTGTCAAGCCAGAGACACGATCCCGGATGCACTCTAGAACTGGGATCCAGGGCTTTGGAGACAGCGTAAGGCCTGAAAACGTGTAGGTCAGTCCAGCGTCACCATATGTGGCTTGCTTCCTTGGCACACTGTGCCACTTCCCAAACACCTGGACCCTGGCCAGTGCACCTGTGCAGAAAAAAACAGCAGTGCCAACCCCCGGACCAGAGAGGCAGGCGACACACTCTCTGAGTACTCGGGAGAGCAAGGGAAGGAAAACAGGAATGGCATGTCCCTCTGTCCTCCAGTGTCATGAAATGCCCTCTTCTGTAATACACCTCCTCAAAAATCACAATGGCTTGCCAAAGTTTTATGTAAAACCACTCTTGCCCTTCTTTCTGCGGTCAATTCTTGAACACGGTAATTTAATTGCCTTTAGGAGCAGAACAGAGACTGAACTCTAAGCACAATGAGGTTTTCATGATAGCCAATTTGTGTCAACCTGTCACTCCATGGAAGGCAGAGATTGTGCAGCTCATGCTGGGCCAGATCCCATGATGGCATCATGGGGGGTTCTTAGCCTGTGGTTCGAAGACCAGCAGCCTCCTCATCACCTGGAAACACCTTAGAAACCAGACTGCAGCGTGGCCCCCCATGAGAGTCTGGAGTAGCAACACACCCCAGAATCACGTTCTACCACTTCCTGTCCTGGAAGCTTTTTAAAAAACACTGATGCCCAGGCTGGACCCTAGCTATCCTGATTCACTAGGTCTCCTGTTGAACCCAGCTTTTTTTTTTTTTTTTTTAATTTTACTGGGGATCAAACCCAGGGCCTCACACATGCTAAGGCAAGCTCTCTACCACTGAGCAACAGCCTCAGCTTCGGCTTTGGGTTTTTTTCTATGATTGCTTTTGAACTTTCCCAGGTGATTCTAGTCAGTAGCCCGGTAGATGCACTCTGGTCAACTGTCAGTGGCCAGGCGATCCTGTTTTTCCCAGGTTGTATCCCAAGCCCAGAGTGGCTTGAGTATTTGTTGATTCCATTAGCAAGCCCATCAGTAATGGCCCTGAAGGTCAGATTTCTCCTAATATAACATCATGGGTTGTAGGAAACAAGCCTTGAAACCCAMACGCACGTCTTCTGCTTACCTGTAAAATATTCCACTTTTTCCTCCAACTGTCGGAAAATCTCATCTGCCTCTGCTTTGCCAAACAAGACCGTGTAATCGCAGTCCAGGCCCTCAGCGCGAATGTGTCGCCAGCTGGGGCCTGCCAAGTGGGCGGCATTCCCCGGGGGGTCTCTCCTGGGCCTCTTCCTTGTGTGTCCTTTGTTGTCGCCCAGGGTAGCTCCTTCTTCTGTGCTCTGCTCTTGCTCCTCCAGCTTTCCCAAAAGGCTCCCTTGAACCTCCTTCCCCAGGAATCTGTCCATCCCTTCCCTCCACCAAAGAGGATGTCAGCAGCAAGACACCCAGGAAGAGTGCCCAAGCTCTGTCCCTGATGAAAACTCAGTAGGTGGGTTTTGAAGGGGTCCCACAGCAATGCTTCTATTTGGGGATGGAGCTCAATGGAAGGCCCTTCGGTGTCTAGAATGTTTGAGTTCCTGGGTTCAATCTCAGGGTCTGCAACAAAGGAAACAGTTTCAGCTGGAAGAGCCCTAGGGACTTTCTGGCCAGAGTCTTCAGGCAGCACATCAAAACCGCAGGCTAGGAGTGTGGCTGAGTGGTACAGCATGTGCTTAGAGCACGGTGTAAGCAACTGGGTTCAATCCTGAGCACCCAAACAACAAACAACAAAGACAAAAATACCAACCAGGTGAGAAAAGGGATCAGCTGAAAAGCTTGCAAAAACTGAAGCCGGAATCAAGACAGGCAGTCAGTGTAGAAAGGTAAACTGAGTCAGGTCGATCTAGAAGGCCAATTTTGAGTCTGGGAAGTTGGAGACTGTCCCTTGAGAGGTCTTATCAAGAACCTGCCCCTGCTCCACCCTGTTGCCAAGGTAACCCGTCCCAGGAACTTCCCCTCCCTAAGGTTGTTAATGTGTCCTGTCTACTCCATCCTGCCCTTCCCCCTCAGCCCACCTATTTCCCACCTTTTGGCCACCCACGAGCATTCCTGGGACTAGTCACGTCTGCAAGAAGGAGAAAGATAAGGGGAGAAAGGCTGGAGATCAAAGGAAGCCTGGGACATAGAAAAAGGGAAGAACACCTCCCGTCTTGTGATACCAGGAGACCAGCTGTGGCCCCCTTCTCCCTGGCGGGAGAAGTCCATGTTCCCCCTTTTTAAATAAACCCTGCTTCATACGCTTGCCCCGGCTGCTCCTCTAATGTTCAAACCTCAACACGCGGGAAGCAGGACACCGCTAACCGGCGGTGTCAAAGCCTGACACTTGCACTTCACCCCCACGCGGAAAATTTTTAAAGAACACGCCTCCCCGTGGGAATCAGTATTTGCAGTCAAGTTTGGAAACTCCAGACAGGGAAAATGACGCCCAGAGGGAGGGGACAGGGAGTTTTGTCAAAGTCACCCACAAATGCAGGTTCTCTATTCCTGTCCACTTTGCTGAGGAAGAGACACCTGGCTTCCCTCTTTCTCACCAGCATTAAAACAGGTCAATACGGCGACACTCAAGGGGAAAAGACCCGGAATCCAAATGCCAACTAATTACAGTCAAACCCTCCTCCCCTTCTGATAGAAAATAAGAACTGTAACACGTGAGTGCGGTGGGAGCTGGAGAGCTCTCTTTACACCCCAGGACTGCCCCCTGCGAGGCTCAGAATCAGGAAAAAACCTCAGGAAGTCACAGCCGGCGGGAAAACACACTCACCCCGCCCGCGGCAGCTCAGGTCGCGCTTGCGCGTAGGTCTCCGGGGGCAATCTGGGAAGCGCAGGCGCATTGGTAAACKCAGTGGCTGCTGACCTCCTGGCGCCACCTGTCGGCCCCTGGATGCATCGCAGGCACTGCTTTGTCTGCCACATCTGGGCTTAACTGCCTCATCTGTAAAGTGGGGACTACAACCCCTGCCAAGAGAGGAAGTTGCAATGAAGTTGGGGGCTTTGTTTTAAAACTTCTTGGTATACAGTTCTGCAAATTTTGACAAAGCTACAATACTTTATAATCACTGTTGAAACACGACGCAAAGAAAAGGCCACCGACTCCAAKTTTAAATCAAATTAAAGCAAGCTTTTATTTGTGTACACTGGAGCTGGCCAGGACTGTTTCTCTCCAAAACCCTGGGCTAGAGATCAGCCCCCCAGCTCTCCAGGAACAAGGTTTTATAGCACAAAAAGTTGCAAAGGGGGGGGGTGTCTTGAGAACTTACAGCCAACAGGATTTTGACAAGCATAGTAAAAAGTCAGATAGATTAATGATCTACATGGGAGTAAATTCTCAACATCAGAATTTATGAAGTGCCGCTGAGATTTTAGAGAGGGTTGTTATCTGGTCAGGGAAAGCGAGGCATGGGTGAGTTCAAGGCACTGGCAGGAATTCCAAACAAGTTTAGAAAGCTCAGTAATTTGTAGTAAAACAGAAATTAACTTTTCATGACTTTGAGATGAGATGGCTCCCAATCTTAAAATGGAATTAGGCTGGGTTCATCATTCAYCAYAATCAAGATATATAACAGTCCTGGCCAAATTAGATTGTTATATTGTGTATTGTATACATGTGCAAATATGTAACAACAAATCCCCTGGGTATGTACAATGATATTACACCTATTAAAAAATGTGTGGGGGGTGTAGGGCTGGAGCTGGAGCTCAGTGGCAGAGCGCTTGCCTGGCATGTGTGAGACACTGGGTTCGATCCTTAGCATCACATAGAAATAAACAAATAAAATAAAGGCATTCTGTCCATTTACAACTACCAAAATAAAAAAAAAAAAAATTGGGGGAAGGTGGTTAAGATCTAGAACAGTTTCATCATCACAGAAATTCCCCCCATCTTTTGGTTGTCAGCTTTTGCTCCTTACCCAGTCTCTGGCAACTGCATGCGTTCTTTCCTCTATCCCTCTAGTTTGCATTTTCCTGAATTTCATATGAATGGAATCATACAATACATAACTTTTTGGGTGTGACTTCTTTCATTTAACAATGGTGCTTTAAAAAAAATTTTTTTTAGTTGTAGAGGGACACACAATATTTTTATTAATTTATTTTTTATGTGGTGCTGAGGATCGAACCAGTGCCTCACACATGCTAGGCAAGTGCTCTGCCACTGAGCTATAGCCCCAGCCCGAAGGATGCTGCTTTTAAAAATCCACAGCACTAAAAAGAAATATTGTTTGCATCAGTAATTTGTCCCTTTTTATTGATGATTAGTATTGTTATCTATGGATGTAACACAGTTGTTTTTGGGTGATATGAATAGAATCAAGTTTTTATGTAAATACAGATTTTTATTTCACTTGAATAAATGCCTAAGAGGGTGATGCTGGGTCACAGAATAAGTGTATAAATGTTTAACTTCGTACAAACTGCTAAACTGGTTTTCAAAGCAAATGATATTCAATTATGAGTCTTTCTCTTCTTACCTTAAGCTCCTTGCCCTGGACACTGGCACACAGCATCAACAAGGATAAAGCTCCTGCCCTGGTCCAGGTTACATTTTAGAGATGCAGACAGGAATAAGCAAGGGAAAAATAATTTTATATAATATAGAAATTACAGAGTGATAGGCCAGGAGGTGGGGCTGGAGGAGAAGGCCTCACAGGGAAGAGTCCTRAGCAGAGACCCAGGCCTCAGGGGAGGAACTGGCTGTGTCCAGCTAAAGTGCTGGGATCCAGATTCAGTAGTAGGGCTTTGGTGGGAGAGGGAAGGAGCCAGCAGAGCTGGGTAAGACGCGAGGGTTTTATTTCAAGCCATTTTGGAAACTGTAGGAGGGTTTTAACCTGGAGGTTGTTGTGACATAATTTATATTTCCAAAAGATCACCGATAGGAAAGAGAAAGCCAGCCTGGGTTGTAAGCCAGAAGATGGGAGAGCTGCTGTTGAATTCAGGATTTGGAGAATTGATTTGCAGATATTGGTAATTTGAACCCCCGGGGAGGGATGGGGGAGGGAACCCAGGTGTGTGWTGGGGGAGGAGGGGGACCATGGTGCTTTTAGAGGGTGAACAGTTTGGGGTTTGACCTCCGTGACCTTAAAGTCGCTCCAAACCTGGTAGATAAGGCAAAGCGTAGCAAAGCAGGCTGTGAAAAGTGGTTGAGATCTGTATAGCAGTTCAACAAGTAACGGAGAGAAGGCTCGTTTTCATCCTGCCACACCCTGTGGGGCCCGTCCCTTTTTTACAGCTGAGCAATTGGAGCACCAGGCCCTGAGGCTGAGAGAGGACAAAGGCATTTAACTAAGAAAGAGTAGGCGGTCCAAGCCCTACCCCTGGGGCGCATGCGCAACGAGCCCTCTACACCCMGCCCCGCCCCTAGGGAAGCCCCCAACCCCCGGCTCCGAGCATGCGCCGGCTGCTTGGCGCCAATTGCTGACCCACCACAGACTACTGGGTCCCCGGGCGGCGCTCGTTCGCTCCCTCCTCGGTTCCGGGATGATTGGCCAGAAGACCCTGTACTCCTTCTTCTCCCCGAGCCCYGCCAGGAAGCGAAGTGTCCGCAGCCCGGAGCCGGCCGACCTGGGGACCGGCGTGGAAGCTGTAGCTGAGGAGAACGGCGATGCAGCGGTGAGGCGCGGCGGAGACCGCTTMAGGCCCCGGGGGCGAGGGGCAGGGATGGGGAAGAAATCAGGAATGCCATCTGGCCGGGGCGGTGCAGGAGCGCACAGCTCGCTCGGTAAATCAGGGACCCGAGTTGAATACAGCCTACATGCCTTCAAAACAGCCGCCTCCATCCCTCACCGGCCGCCATGTTGCAGGGCCAGCCAATGGGAATGGGCCTCGGGAACCACAGCGCCAATCGGCATGCAGCTGTCCCGCCCTTCTCAGCCCTCTGTCCAATCAGAGGGGGAGGGAGGCGGGACCCCGGAGGAGGGGTTTTTTTTGCCGCGAAAAGGCCACGTGGGGACGCTTGCCGCGGGTCCTGCAGGGCGGGGCGCCCGAGTGAGTCTCCGGACCCCGCGGGGCTCTCGGAGTTCGGACTCCAGAGCTCTGCACTGGCTCCACCCCGAGCCCTGGAGTCAAATTGTCTGATTTGGCTCGCACCCGCCTTCGCCATGGGCGTCTGTAGCCGACCGCTGGTGGGTTTGGCCCGGAAGCTGCGGGCGCCCGGGAAGCGGCCTGTGCGGTTGGTGACCCGCCTCTGCGGGGACTCGTTGCAGGACCATCCCACCAAGAAGGCCCGGGTCGGGCAGGAGGAGCCCGACACGCCGCCCTCCTCGCCGCTGAGCCAGGAGCAGCTGGTCCGCATCCAGAGAAACAAGGCCGCGGCGCTGCTCAGACTCGCGGCCCGCAACGTGCCCGTGGGCTTCGGGGAGAGCTGGAGGAAGCCCCTGGGCGCCGAGTTCGGGAAGCCGTATTTCATCAAGGTGAGCCGCACAGCCGCCTTGCCCAGGGGTCCGGGGAGCACTGGCTCTTGGTTGGCTTGGCAGGTCATCTGCCTTTAGAGYATGTTGGGCTTCCACGGCCTCCTGTTTTCCCTCCTGCACTGGGTTTTTACCACGAAGCGAGTAAACTAACGCCGTGATGATCTGAGTGTGCACTTAGGTTGTGAAGGACGGTAAGGTGATGTCATGGGTTTTAAGCCACTTAGTTTGCTCCCCAGGAAAGGTTGGCATAAAACAACCAGACCGATTCCCAGCTCGGCCCTTGGGAAAAAGATGAGAAGTATTGGCATCACTCTGACATGAAAGCCATCAGGCAAAACGACAGCGATCCGTCCCCGAGAAACAGGAGAGTTGGGGTGATCCGAACTTAAGGCCCTAGTAGGAACAGGGGTTTTTTTTTTGTTTTGTTTTAAAGAATTTGGA